AATACTGAAGTCATTCAATACAAGTTTTCTTCTATCTACTTGGATAAGGTTAAAGATCAACAGTTCCTTGTCAGGATGCTTATGGCTGCCATATTCAACTTATACATAAAGGAATCCAATTTTTTATTGTTTAATTCCATCTGACGTGAAGTCATACAATGACTAATGTTCGTTCACTATAAAATTATATATCTGGAAATGGGTGCAATAGTATCAGAGCCTGCAGCAATAGTGGTTTCCTTCTGAAGCACACCTCATAAGTAGCTGAGGGTTAAAGTGCATACTCTGGTCTGCTTATACTTCTTATGCAGACTTTTTATTATTTTTTTTTAACCCCTGTACCCCCATGTTTCCTTAAGCACTTGCAATTCCAAGAAGAATGTGTATACACTTTCTAGATAGGATCTGTAGTAGATATGGCTACACCTAAAAAAGTCTGCTAACAGGTGGACAATCATCATACAAGAAGGGCTTCTCATTTCATCCTTCCCACGACATGGTATGGACTGCCCCTGGTGTCTTCCTACTTTCTTCTTCCCATCCTAGCCAAGTGTAGTGCTGGAATAGTGTTAAATATTAACAGAGAGATCCAGAAACCTTTCACCTCTATAATCTGCTTTACAAACTATTTAACACTATTCCAAAGTCCACTCCACAGTACATGGAATGATAACTTTATGTTCACTTCATGGTATGCCAAATATTATCTGAAGGAGTGATGACATCAGGTCTTTTTATTTCAACTCTATTCCACTGTCTGTTTCTAAGCTGACTTGTCCCAAATGTGTAAGCCAGCCTTCCTTAACCTGTCTCAAATGTTTTGGACTGCTGACTGGGAGAATCTGGGAGCTGAAAAAATCCAGAGGGCACCTGGTTGAAGAAGGCATGCATAAACTGCCAAAAATAAAAGGTATAGGACCAATGGGGTATATTTATATACAGTACAACATTGTTCTAACTTTGTGTTACCTTACAGTCAAGTGAGGTGTGTGAAACATTTGCCTCTATTTAAGCCTTCAACACAGGCCTTTGGCATCAGTGAATACAATTTCTAGGATATTTCACTTTAATCCATGCACACACACCCAAAATACAGGGGGAAAGGAACATTAATGCAGGGTGTGATCGGACAGCTGCAAAGACACATGCCTTATCACTCCAGAAAAGGTCACTTTAACAGGAGTGATCTTTCTCAAAGCAACCCTTCCATCTGCCAGGGAATGTCTCCAATCTGCCCAATAGTAGTAGCCCTATAGCTAGACCGAAAAGGTCCAACTTGGGACTGGGGTCAGCCTGGAGCACATTTCCGCCTACATCATGTGACGACAGGAAATAAATCCCACCAGACAGCCTCAGAAGTGGTCCAAATTGCAATCTGTTTCCCCATGTGATCACGCCTTGACTGTTCATTGAAATATTTGTGACAGGTGTGTGCATCACAATACCACTAATAATCAACTGAAAATCACAGTAAGTCTTTCTACAGAGAGAAAGGGGAGGTATAAATTAAACAAGTAGAATACAAAACAAAGCACACCCACTACTGTCATAAACATGCTGGATGGAAATCCAAGTAAGAAACAGGGCAGAACATCCTGTGCCAGTTTTTCTTGCAGCCTCTTACCAGTTTTATTGTGAAGTGGAAAAAACCCTCTTCAAGCTTGGTTCTTTGCAGGTATTATATTGGGATAAGTGTACATTGTATTGATAAGGAAACCTCAAGCTGTCTCTCCTGTGCCAAAAAAGGCAGCCAGAAATGTCTGGTTTCCCTAAGTGTGAGTCTACAGTTAAATTTAAATCTTTCTTAAATACATTCACACATATACCACTGCATATCTATCTTAATCTTATCTATCTACCTATCTATCTACCTACCTACCTACCTACCTACCTACCTACCTACCTACCTACCTACCTACCTACCTACCTACCTACCTACCTACCTATCTAAACAATCGGGTAGGGCAATCCCTTAAGGCAGCAAGGATGTGAGAGAAAATTATTATAATATACTGTATTGCAAATGTTAATGTTCTTATTCCATGGTAGTACTATAGAAGATTATTATATTATTCTATATATTCATGTACTAACTATATTGTTCTGCATAATAATTAACATGTGGCAGTGGCATAGTACAAGAGACTTGCCTCTGTAGGTAGGTGTGCATATACTGTTCTGTCAGTCATCCATGCAATCACTCACCCATCTTGTTACAAATAATGTAGTTACCATAACAGGTGCATCTGAATTCAATGGTATGTATTGGGATGAAAAACAAAGCATATTTATGGGTATTCTGCTATTACAACCTCTGTGACTTTTGTTTAGCAACAGGGGAAATAAATTACTTGTAGCACTACTCTATGCATTGTTTAGCTGAGTGTATGTTCTGCTGCACTGTTGCATTATTTAGATTCTGGGTGTAGTTCAGCATTTACTAGCATTACACATATTTACATCTTTACGGCTCAATTAGAGTATTTTAAATAAAGTACTGTGACTATTTTAAAGTAAAGTATTTATAAGCACCGCATCATTATATTTCGGTTGGCCATCATAGCCTAACTCAAACATTTTAACTAGAGGGTTATGGGAGTTACTATCTGGACCCCACACACTCGCAGTTTCTGCTCTAAACTACCCTCATCTTTGGTCTTCCCCAACCTTGTACTGTGTAGAGCTATTGGACTACAACTCCCACAGTGGAAGGGGTAAAGGGACAGATTCTCTACCAGGCAGGAACCTTAATCTCCATCCCCCTACTGCACTCTTGCACTTAACTTGAAGGGGGAAATTGTTAACTTGAAGGGAGAAATCTAGCATATGGGATCAAAACACATTCTGGGATTTGTTCATAGATTTACATTCATCACTTGATGAATGCTGCATCCAGCCAACAACTGTTATGCCTGGAAAGATAATGCAATGGAAAGAATGTGCATCTCATTTGCATCACCCGCTGATGCAGTGCTTTGGGGTAGAATTTTTTAATATAATTAGCTCCCAGTCACTCAGCACAAAGCAATTAGATGATCTCTACACATGTGTGAACTAACCCAGTTAGTCAAATCCTTTTTCAGAAATAGACTTCCTCAGTGGAACCTGGGCATCTTCTGTCACCATCAGTTTGTTTGCAAAACAGCTTTGCTAAGAAATTAAACGTGGCTAGTCCATATCTTTAATTGGTCCCCTGTTAGTTATTCATGCTTCTGTCTTCCAAGGAAACGTCTCCTCTTCTATGGAAATGGTTTCCCTGACTGGCCACCTGGAAACAATTCTCGACTCTCTGCAGGTAGCCAGACATGTAGCTCTTTACAAGCTGCAATAAAACCAACTTCTCCCGTGGTGGGGAAAGGTTGTTTTCAGGACAGATGCTGCAAAATATTATTTATTTATTTATTCCATTTATACCATACACTTACACACACATCCCTATCGTGAATAAATAAATATTATAATATTTACAATTTATGTGGCATGTTTGTTCAAACAAAGTCCTTTCCACATATCCTTCAGTAATGATTATGCCATGGCAAAGCATGCCAATCCCTTGTCTGTGACTATTATCCTTATTCCACAGACAGGAAGACAGCAGCTGAGAAAATGGTCCTTTTAACAACTGAACTGGATACTTTCTGGCTCAGAGTTTGTGTTGCTAACCAACGGGCTAACTTCCAGAAGTTTGAAAGGTGCTCTGAGGAATTCTATTTTTCACCCCGATGTCTGGATGGATAATGGGAGCTCTCCAAGTCTCTGGAGGGAATTCCTTACTGTTCCTGTTCCCCTAGCAACCCTACTTAACTTTGAGAAGCCTCTCACTTCTCTGACCCAGAACCAGTCTCACTTTGCATTGATGCCAGTCTCAAATCCAGAACCTGGGAAACGTAACCATATGGTTACTGGGAAATTGTGACCACTGTTGTCTTCAAAAGTAACATTTCCAGGCTCTCTTTTGCACAAAGCTGAGGCCTCAGCTATTTCAGTGTTAAATTATATGGGACTGAACTGTGGTACCATTGGCTGCCTTTCCCTCCTGTAAATTCCTAGAAGGTTGATCTCTGCCTTGTGCTATTAAATAAGCAGCTCCACCCCAAACAGGCGATTCCCTGAGGAAACACCCTTCCAGACCCCACTGTGCCTTCATAGTCACTTCATCTCTTGCAATCCTATAAACAGAAAATGTTCTCTCTCTCTCTCTCTCTCTGCAAGTTGCAGGTGCCTCACATTTGTCCTAATCAGGTACAATAAATCAGGGATTTTTTCTTTCTTTCCCCTGCCCCTTCTCAAAGGTATCCCTCCATCCTAGGCCTGCTGTTTCTAATTGTTCATAAACCAGAGCCTTCCACATGTGTTGGACTACAGCCCCTATCCTCCCCAGCCAATATGTCTACTGGATCCATGATGTCGGGGGTGAGTTGTAGAAGAGCAGCACATCTGAAGGGCAGGAGGAGACCAGGTGGCTCCCAATTTATGCAGACAAATGGAACACGTGGCTAAAATGGAGAAAAATGTAAACCAGATTGCCCCAAATCCCCCATATTCCACACCAGATTTTGCTACACACAGTTTCTCCCCACTGGATTCTCTCTCTGAAAACAGGGTGGAGTGGGGGGGGGGTGTCATGCTTGCTTGGGAATCACAGTCTTGGATCTTGTAGCTCTGCGTTCAGGTTTGAATATTTAGGGTGGGGGAGACGGCACAGGGAATGACACTTTGTACAACCTCGGAGACCTCCTTTCCCACTTGAGTCTTATCGCCACCCATTCTCGGACAAGGGATCAAGCTTCTTCCTGGGCTCAAATTAAGCCTTACTCCACCACCTACAGCTACCACCAGTTCCCAAATCGATTCAGATCTCTTTCTATTACTCCAGTCCCCGACTGGCGCTGCCTCCGACTCTCCCGGTGACATTGGCACCCCCCCCTTCCCACACCTCCTAGCGCCCACGGGCTGCCCCTCCCGCCAGCCGGGCAAGGCCCGCAGGTCACGCCCCCTACCTGTGCCACAGCCATGCCCGTGCGGGGCCGTCGGGTCCCCTCCCAGCCTCTCCAGCAGCCTGGCCAGCAACCCGTCGGGGCTCTCAGGTTCCGCCAGCGGGGCCCAGCAGCAGGTGGGCACAGCCTCCGGGCTGAGCTGGGTCTCTCCCCCTCCTCCGCCGCCG